CCCGCTTGAAACAAATGTTTTATTTTTGGATTGAGGAAAATAAATGTGAAGTTATCCCTGACATTTTTTCTTTTAGTAAGTAACTAAAAATAATCACTTATAACCTATTTTTGAGATTTAAAAGTTATTTATAGATCATATTTTAAAGGAAATTTTATTTTGTAGTTTCATATAATAAATTAGTCTTGATTCTAAAACACTTTGTCTTGCTTGAACTTGAAATTTTTTTTATCAATTAGTGAATTTTTTTTAGTCATTTTTTTGCCCCCACTAAGAGAGGATCCTAGCTCTGCCCCTGCTCTCAGCTGGTTTATATTTGCTATTTATGGTTTCTAAGTCTGCCAAATGCTCCTTTTAGCTTCGATGTGGTGATCTTTCAGTTCACTTTCTACTGGTTCTTCTCATGGCTTTTCAGCCTTCTTCTGCGGGTTTTAGCTGGAATTTTTGCCCCTGATCTCCTGCAGTTGTTGTGTTTCAGCTGGAATTTCTGATGCTGCTGCCTCTCAGATGGCTTTTTTCTGCTGCATTCTGCTGGCTCTCAGCTGCCTCTCTGATGCTTCTCTGGTCTCTTCAGCTAGTCTGCCTTTGTTTGTTGCTGCTCTATTTTCAGCTACTCTTGGTTTGTCAGCTGCTTCCTGCTGCTCTGCTTGTATGCTTCTATCATTTTGCCCCTTCTGCGAGGGGGTGGGGACCTGCAGATGAGAATTTAAGTCTATCCCTGTTTCTTTATACTTAAAGCATTTACTTCCTGTTATTCCTTTTCCATCCTCCTCATTTCCCTAGTATATAAAAAATTGGCTGATATTTTTCTGTTATATTTACGCAGGGCACTGGTGTTTATATGGGAGATGCTCCAATTGTTGAATGTATGAAAAGGTACAAACCCAATGTTATTGTTACTTTTCGGGTTGCAGATGCTGCATTATTCTTGGCTCCAATGGTAAGAACTACAACTTCCTGATTCAAGTAGTACATGTCAACATGCTTCTTTCTGATTCTAAGTCAGTGTTTACCCACCAGGTGTCTGGTGGCTTTTTTTACGAATACTAGTCTCTACCATAGGTTGGGCACGTGGTAATTCATAGGATTCTACTTTTGTAGAAAATGTCAGTGCAACTCTTGTGTTACCACTATAATAAAATTTAGAATGATTCGGTAGATCAACGGCACCATATGGGTGATCTGTTTCAAAACTTGTCAACAATAAAAAATATTAAACTGTTCACGTGTAAGTAAATTATAATTCAAAAGTGCTGCCTAATATTCTTTTACTGGTTGTAAGAGGCGATGGTAATATTCATTTGGATTTTACACTAAATTTTGTAGGGGTACTTATGGTTTTAACTCCATTCTGAGGTGGTGTAAGTCAATAACTGGTCATGAAAACAGTGGCACTTTTTTTTGTGTATAAGTAGTGGATATAAATAATTAACTATAGGATACCCTACTCTTTACAGATCTGGGAGTCCTAACGTCATATGTAGTAAATAATGAGCTACTCCAACTATACTTATAGCCATGGTTCTATCCAAATTTATTGACAAGTTGAATGGTACCTAAAACAAACTTATTTTCACTGTCTAAAATGAATATGTAACTATAACTTTTTCATGTGTTCGTTTAATACAATGTTTTCTCTAGATCAATTTATTTTGGATATCATCTGATAGATTTGTTTTGTTAAATGATAGAGCTTACTTTGAATTCTCTTGATGGCCTATAAATTTTTAGTTCTAATATTTTCCATGTATTTGATAGGTTTGTGACAAGCATAAAACAATCATGTTGGCAGATATTTCAAATGGAATGGTTGTGTGTGGTGATTAATTTGATTATGCAGATCCTGAATAGTGTTGAGCTTGGAGATGGTATTTCAAGGCATGAAGCTGGACTGTTGGAGCTATTCAAATTTAAGAGACATTAAATATAATTAGAGATGGTGTAAATCCCCTTGAAAGATTAAAACCATTTTTTCTATTTTTAGAACTTCTTGTTTTTTGATTCTTGTAATTAATTTTTTTTGGAAATAACATTTTGTTTTTTTTAAAAAGATGTGGAATTGTGTTGGTTTTTTATTGAACACAAGTATTATTACTGTATAGGTGAAAAATTTTATTAAAATATCATTTTTTATGTAAAATAAAAAAAATGAATTTTTTTGCGACGGAATAAAAATCGTCGCAAAAAATTGCAGGAGTAAGTTTTTTCGCGACAATTTTTATACGTCGCAAATGTATTTATTTAATTATTTTTTAGATTGTTAATTTATTAAAAAATTATTTGCGGCGATTTGTTTACGTTGCTAAAAAGTAATTAAATTATTATTTTTTATATTTTTTATTTATAAAAAAATTATTCATGACGATTTTTTTACGTCACTAAAAATTAATTAAATTATTATTTTTTACATTTTTTATATATGAAAAAATTATTCGCGATGATGTTTTTACATAGCTAAAAATTAATTAAATTATAATTTTTACATGTTTTATTTATGAAAAAATTAGTTGCGACGATTTTTTTACGTCGCTAAAAAGTAATTAAATTATTATTTTTATTTATGAAAAAATTATTCGCGACGATTTTATTATGTCGCAAAAAATTAATTAAAATAATATTTTTTATTTTCTAAATCTGGTGGAATATATTTTAGCGACGTTTTTTTTTAACTTTTAGTGACAATTTTGTTTTGTCGCAATTTTTCTTTTTTTTCCGATGAAAATAAATTTGCGTCACAAAATACTTTTTGTAATGAACACAAAAAACTTTTGGAGACGATTTTTTTTAATTTAGTGACGAAAAAATCGTCGCAAAAAATGATTTTTGTTGTAGTGGGAGACCTCCTCGTGAACATGCCATTTCAACTCATTTCCTTTCCTCCTATCGGTGTACAATGGTTCGGTTTGACTGGATTGAGAGTGGATGTGGTTGTGAGTCTTTGATATTCTGTTGGCCCGGTCACGGTTTATGTTTGGATCCTCACCATCTCATCCGTAGCTTCCCACGAATTAATTGTTCATCTATGCACCGTTGGAGGAAGGTTTCGTGTTGAGTTGGGATTCCCATTGAAATGACCTATTTGAATTAGCCAACACTTGTTTTCTTGTATTTTCATTAAAGAACAAAACTCACCAAAACCAACTACAAGATTTTACACTTTTTCTTTTGTTCACAAAATCACTTTCACACACTTGAACTTTCCTCCCCTTAGGAGACGACCTTAGAATACTTTTTCAAGTAAAACAACGACACACAAAAGACTTCTTGCACTTGGGGAGCACTTTTGTTCACATACGCATTTCATTCCACACACATATTTTGTTCATTTCATTCCATTCTATCCACCATTCTGTTGCGTTATCTCTTGCATCATTCCGAGGGAGAGTGACACTTCCCTCCATCCATATACAATACGTTTTGAGGGATGATATTTAGGGGTTAGGGATAACAACAAAAACCTTAAGCATGTAGCCGTCACATGCTCGGTTTCACAAGTCGAAAGAGTCACAATGGGTTGCTTCTTTGAACTCCAAGTAAATGCGGTATTTCCCATGAAGAAAATATACCCGGTAGTACTTTTTCTATCATTCATATCTCTGGCCCAATCACTATCACAATAACCCGCAAGCTTGAAATTGTTAGAACAAGAATATAGAAATCCATAATCAAGTGTACCTTTGATGTATCTAAGAATTCTTTTCGCCGCCTTCAAATCTGTCATGGTAGGAGCTTCCATATAACGACTTACAAGATCAACTCCAAAAAGAATATCCCGACTTTGTGCATGTTAAGTACCTCAAGCTTCCCACTAAGCTCTTGAAATGGGTAGGATCCACATGCTCTCCATCTTCATATTTTGATAATTTTACACCTCATTCAACGGGTGTGCATACCGACTTACAATCTTGCATCTTGAATTTTTGCCAAAATTACTTTAGCATAATCTTCTTGAGAGATAAAATACCTTCTTTCATTTGCTTCACTTCAATTCCACGGTAGTATGACATAAGCCCAATGTTGATTATCTCAAATTCTTTAGTCATAGCTCTCTTGAAATCTTTAAACATTCTTGGACAATATCCTGTGAAGATCAAATCATCCACATACAAACAAACATAGAGTATATCACTATTATCATTCACCTTTGCATAAAGAGCATGTTTATGGAGACACTTGGTAAAATTATTTGCTTGAAAGTACTCGTCAAGTCTACTATTCCAAGCCTTTGGTGCTTACTTCAAACCATACAAAACCTTTTTTAATTTCAAAACTTTCTCTCCTTACCCCTTCAAAACATAACCTCAGGGTTATTCAACATACACCTCTTCATCAAGAAAGCCATTCAAAAAAGCGAACTTTACATTCATTTGATGAATTTTCCAATTATTTAGAGCGACTAAAGAAATAGACAATCTAATTGTTTCTAAATGAGCAACGGGTGCAAATATCTCATTATAGTCAATACCCAATCTTTGACTATAACCTTTTGCAACCAACCTTACTTTATACCCTCCACTTCACCTTTGACCTTTTTCTTTGTCTTGTACACCCACTTCACTCCAATGACCTTTTGTCCCCTAGGGAGTGTGGCAAACTCCCATGTTCCATTTGTTTCAATAGTATCAATTTTTTCATTCATGGCACTCCTCCACTTCTTGTCTTGTGCTACTTTCTCATAGCCTGTAGGATCACAATCGACAAATAGACAAAATAGTGTTAGATCATTAAATCCTTGAATTACCTCTTCGGTTTCATTATAGATATCTCGAAGACTTCTCATGTGAGGTGGCCTTTCACTTGAACTTATTTCAGATGATGATGGAGATGCTTGCATATTGGTGGATGATGGTGATGATGGTGGAGGAGAATAAATGGGCAGCTCCATGATCTCATTATTGGGCTCCTCCTTTTCTTCAAAGAATGAGAAAAAATTATAGTCTTCTTGTGGAGTGTTCCAATCTCATTCATCTTCTTCATCAAACTCAACATCTCTACTAATGATTATCTTCCCATTACTTGGGTTGTAAAGCTTGTAACCTTTGCTTCTTGAATCATAGCTAATGTAGACAAACTTTTTACTCTTGTCATCTAGTTTGGTCTGTTTCTCATTCGGTACATGTGCATGGCATACACTTCCAAAGACCGGCAAATGAGAAATATTTGGCTTGATTTCTCCCCTTGCCTCTTGTGGTGTTTTGTCTTGTACACTTCTAGTGGGACACATATTTAACAAGTAGATAGCACAATCAATAGCTTCTGCCCAAAACTCCTTGGACATTTTTTTTACTCTTCAACATACTTGGAGCCATGTCATGAATGGTTCGGTTCTTTCTTTCGACAACACCATTTTGTTGTGGTGATCTTGGAACTGTTAGAGGATGGTGAATTCTATTTTCTTCACAAAATTTTTTGATTTCATTTGATGTGAATTCACCTCCTCTATCGGATCTAATTGCCTTGACTTCATACCCACTTTGTTTTTCAATCAAAGCCTTAAACTTTTTGCAAACTCCAAACACCTCCGATTTTTGTTTTAGAAAATAAACCCACGTTTTTCGACTAAAATCATCAATAAAGAGAAGAAAATACCAATTCTTACCAAATGATGGTAGGTCTATAGGGTTGTAAACATCCGAGTGAACAAGTTGNATCGGTGTACAATGGTTCGGTTTGACTGGATTGAGAGTGGATGTGGTTGTGAGTCTTTGATATTCTGTTGGCCCGGTCACGGTTTATGTTTGGATCCTCACCATCTCATCCGTAGCTTCCCACGAATTAATTGTTCATCTATGCACCGTTGGAGGAAGGTTTCGTGTTGAGTTGGGATTCCCATTGAAATGACCTATTTGAATTAGCCAACACTTGTTTTCTTGTATTTTCATTAAAGAACAAAACTCACCAAAACCAACTACAAGATTTTACACTTTTTCTTTTGTTCACAAAATCACTTTCACACACTTGAACTTTCCTCCCCTTAGGAGACGACCTTAGAATACTTTTTCAAGTAAAACAACGACACACAAAAGACTTCTTGCACTTGGGGAGCACTTTTGTTCACATACGCATTTCATTCCACACACATATTTTGTTCATTTCATTCCATTCTATCCACCATTCTGTTGCGTTATCTCTTGCATCATTCCGAGGGAGAGTGACACTTCCCTCCATCCATATACAATACGTTTTGAGGGATGATATTTAGGGGTTAGGGATAACAACAAAAACCTTAAGCATGTAGCCGTCACATGCTCGGTTTCACAAGTCGAAAGAGTCACAATGGGTTGCTTCTTTGAACTCCAAGTAAATGCGGTATTTCCCATGAAGAAAATATACCCGGTAGTACTTTTTCTATCATTCATATCTCTGGCCCAATCACTATCACAATAACCCGCAAGCTTGAAATTGTTAGAACAAGAATATAGAAATCCATAATCAAGTGTACCTTTGATGTATCTAAGAATTCTTTTCGCCGCCTTCAAATCTGTCATGGTAGGAGCTTCCATATAACGACTTACAAGATCAACTCCAAAAAGAATATCCCGACTTTGTGCATGTTAAGTACCTCAAGCTTCCCACTAAGCTCTTGAAATGGGTAGGATCCACATGCTCTCCATCTTCATATTTTGATAATTTTACACCTCATTCAACGGGTGTGCATACCGACTTACAATCTTGCATCTTGAATTTTTGCCAAAATTACTTTAGCATAATCTTCTTGAGAGATAAAATACCTTCTTTCATTTGCTTCACTTCAATTCCACGGTAGTATGACATAAGCCCAATG